TTTGTTTTGCAGGTCTGTTTTTCAGTTCTGTGGTGACAGTGGCACGCTACAGAGCTGTGCGTTAAACGAAGCATCAAAGCAAAGAATTGTGTCAAGAAATTTTATAGATCAATATAATTATTTAAATTACTCGATGAATCGTTGCAGCCCTAGTTCAGTTACATTTGATCCTCTGAAAATGAGAGAATATAGATAAAAATGGCTTTAACTCATAAGCAGTTAATTCAATACTTAGTTTTAGACTCCTTGAAGTAAAGCTAAAAATCTGCACTTCAGTCACATCTGTAGTTTATAATCCACTGTGGTGAGTTTTCGTAAAAATTCCTCACTGACTCTTTATCAGTGTGTGGATACTGAGTCAGTTTGTTTAGACTTTAATCTTGCGTCCTGTGACTGCCTCCAGCCTTCACAGCGTCATATAGCTGAAGAAGCTGATTATAACCTTAGTTTTTGGGTATCAAGTAAAAATTATTTATGCATGCTTTATCTGGCATGTGTATATTGGAACTTGTATAGCACCTAAGCTGCTGCAACAGTGATGCATCAGTGTGGAGGTCTGCAGTGCAGTGGAGCCTACTGGTAACTAAACATGTTATCACTGTAAATTGTGATGTGTGATGAGCAAAACTGACTGAAATGTGTGAACTATCAAACTAATCCTGCTTCCTGTCATTGCTCCCTTTGCAGTGCTAGAAATGTAACAGCAAGTTAAAGGAGCAGCTGGAATCCAAAAGGTAACCATCATAAAGCATTTCACCACAGTGTGACCTTGTTTACAGTTTTAAGTCTTTCTTTGGCAATAAAATCACAAAGTAGAAGCGATAAATACAATCAACTCGATAATCATGGTCCATCATTTAAACACAGCTGTGTGTTGTAGTTTCACCCTGATGTGGCAAACGATAAATAAATAAAGTATAAGACATGTCAGAAAAAAGATGTTATCAATGCAGGATGTAGTAGTTCCTTTTTGTTAGCAGCCGTCAGAGCACAGGGTGTACACACCTGCTGTGGGTTAGAGGTGGACTGACGTCTCAGTTATGGTCAGACGGGGACATCGTGGTGCGTCAGCTTTTATGTTACCAGCAGAGACCCTGTGACAGTGACATATGATCACATGACATGCTAACTGTTAAAAACTGGGCTGCCAAGATGTAGGAAATAGTCAGCTTTACATTCATTCTTGCATACGTAGTGACAGTGTGGCCTGGAATAAGTTGAGAGTTTATAAAGACTCCCAAAAGTTGAGTTTGTTATCATAAATCAATCTGGGAAGCCTTAAAACTGTAACAAGTTAGCTAGCTTGTAACTGTGACCTTCTTGCCAGCAAATTAAACATGTGATTATCGACTGATTAATTGACATGTTGTTGTGTTTGCATTCCTTTTCTCTCTCTGTCACTTCCTGTCTGCGACACCTGCCCAACACCATGCCGAAACCAAGCCTGAACCTTCCAAAATAAGATTCAGGAAGTCATCCTTTATTGTTAATTCTAAACATTCTAATTTCTCTTTCCAGTTTAAAATCTCACCGACTTTTCAGCTCATGTTCTGCTAGCTTGTCTAAACTTTACAAGCCTGTCTCTGTAAAGAGGGGAGGGGTGTTCACTTTGGACAGGAAATATTGACCCTTTCTTGTTCATTACCATGTACCAATTAAGAGACTGGAAGGAAGTGCCCTTGCTCACAGGAAGGCCCCCCTTGCTGCTGCTCTGTCACGGCTTAGCAGGGGTGGGTTTAAAAAAAAGATTTCCTGATTCAAAACGATTTTAATTTGCTGCACCCGACGGCACGTACGCACACACGCCATCAGTGCTGAAAGCTGTCGTCCTGGCACTTTCTCCTTCCTCCTGACAGCGTTTACAGTTGATGAGTGTCTTCTGTTCATTTGTGTACAATACCGTTTGAACCACCAATTAGATCCATTAGATCAATTAGATCATGCTTATCAGCATCATGATGGGAGCTCAGCACGCTGACCGTTCACTGAACTCTTGTCATTTGTGCCCAGAATTAAAAAAAACAAATACTTTGTGGTTACAGAATAGACAATAAAAAGAAAATACCAAATATAGATGTACAGTGTATGTACATGCAAATAGGTCATACTTTGTTGTTATTTATTATTTACTATCATTATATTGGGATGGGTGTTTCCCTCAGACATTTACTGTTGGCCCTGGGCTCAGTGGAGGGGTTACAGTGGGGCAAAAAAGTATTTAGTCAGCCACCGATTGTGCAAGTTCCCCCACCTAAAATGATGACAGAGGTCAGTAATTTGCACGAGGTACACGTCAACTGTGAGAGACAGAATGTGAAAAAAAAATCCATGAATCCACATGGTAGGATTTGTAAAGAATTTATTCGTAAATCAGGGTGGAAAATAAGTATTTGGTCAATAACAAAAATACAACTCAATACTTTGAACATAACCTTTGTTGGCAATAACAGAGGTCAAACGTTTACTATAGGTCTTTACCAGGTTTGCACACACAGTAGCTGGTATTTTGGCCCATTCCTCCATGCAGATCTTCTCGAGAGCAGTGATGTTTTGGGGCTGTCGCGAGCACACGGACTTTCAACTCCCGCCACAGATTTTCTATGGGGTTGAGGTCTGGAGATGGCTAGGCCACTCCAGGACTTTCAAATGCTTCTTACGGAGCCACTCTTTGTTGCCCAGGCGTGTGTTTGGATCATTGTCATGTTGGAAGACCCAGCCTCGTTTCATCTTCAAGTTCTCACTGATGGAAGGAGGTTTTGGCTCAAAATTCACGATACATTGGCCCATTCATTCTGTCTTAACACGGATCAGTCGTCCTGTCCCCTTGGCAGAAAACAGCCCATAGCATGATGTTTCCACCCCATGCTTCACAGTAGGTATGGTGTTCTTGGGATGCAACTCAGTATTCTTCTTCCTCCAACACGACGAGTTGAGTTTATACCAAAAAGTTCTACTTTGGTTTATTGACCAATGAATTTCCCAATCCTCTGCTGTATCATCCATGTGCTCTCTGGCAACTTCAGACGGGCCTGGACATGCACTGGTTCAGCAGCGGAACACGTCTGGCATGCGGGATTTGATTCCCTGCGTTGTAGTGTGTTACTGATGGTGACCTTTGTTACTTTGGTCCCAGCTCTCTGCAGGTCATTCACCAGGTCCCCCGTGTGGTTCTGGGATCTTTGCTCACGTTCTCATGATCATTTTGACCCCACGGGATGAGATCTTTGCGTGGAGCCCAGATCGGAGGGAGATTATCAGTGGTCTTGTATGTTTCCATTTTCTGATGATTGCTCCACAGTTGATTTTTTTCACACCAAGCTGCTTGCCTATTGTAGATTCACTCTTCCAGTCTGGTGCAGGTCTACAATACTTTTCCTGGTGTCCTTCGAAGCTCTTTGGTCTTGGCCATGGCGGAGTTTGGAGTCTGACTGTTTGAGGCTGTGGACAGGTGTCTTTTATACAGATGATGAGTTCAAACAGGTGCCATTCATACAGGTAACGAGTGGGGGACAGAAAAGCTTCTTACAGAAGACGTTACAGGTCTGTGAGACCCAGAGATTTTCCTTGTTTGAGGTGACCAAATACTTATTTTCCACCCTGATTTACAATAAATTCTTTACAAATCCTACCATGTGGATTCATGGATTTTTTTTCACATTCTGTCTCTCACAGTTGAAGTGTACCTCTGGTGCAAATTACTGACCTCTGTCATCATTTGAAGTGGGGGAACTTGCACAATCGGTGGCTGACTAAATACTTTTTGCCCCACTGTATATAGTTCAGATGGCCTGAAAGCACCGGGGGTCCCCAGGTGTAGCTGGAGGATCTGAGGCTTTCTTACTGTGTATTCATTTGACAACAGAAACAGTGTTTTCTTAGTTTAATCATTCTTGTGTTGCTACTAAGTTTCTAAGTCCTTTGAAGATTTAATGTTAAATGGTTCTAATAAGTAGCAGTAGTTCGGAGTTGTTATTACTAATGCTGTGCTGTTTACGTCTACAGATATTATGCCGCACTAAAAACCATGGAGCAGTTAGAGAAGGTCTATATCCCAAGGTAGGATCAGACGAAGGCTGCTGAAAGAATGTCACAGTAATGTTGGCTCGACATGAGAAGCTAACAGGTGTCAGACTGTTAGTCTGCCAGCTGTTGCACTGCACTGCTTTTTAAAATGTATTTCTTTATTGATTTTTTGAATGAATGTTGGATCGGACTGCTTTTCTTTTTTCATAGTTCTGATGTATCCCTTGCAGGGTCAGTCAGTACAGGTTCTGTCAGATCATGGCTGAAAATCTGCCCAGACTGAGAGAGGAGATCAAAGACATCTCCATGTCAGACCTCAAAGACTTCCTGGAGAGCATTCGAAAGCATTCAGACAAGGTTGGAGAGACTGCCATGAGACAGGTATAGAGCTTTTTCCTTTTTAAATAATTCAGGTCATAGCAGGGAAAAAAAGAAGTCAAATTGCTGACGTGTGTGTTTTTGTCTTCAGGCACAGCAGCATAGGACCTTTAACAGTGCAGTAGCCAAGCAGGCCAGTATGGGCCACTACATCAAGCCCGTGTACTCTCTCAATGAGCGAACTCATGCTCACACTCCCAACGGCCTGCTGATGGATGATGACACTGGAGATGATGAGGCTGATGAAGAGGTGAGATAAGACGTGTGTGTAGCTGACGTGGCGGTGATGATCAGATACTGATGTCTTTTAAAGAACCATGGCTGACAGCATAAAGATACAAAATTAACTTTTTTCCAATGCAAATCTTTTTTTTTCATAAAAGAAGAGATTATGAAAGTTTCCACTGTTACAGGATCGTCTTTTCCTTAAACGACTGAAAGTAAAGTGCTTTGCTTCTGGACAGAGATACAAATAATAAACTTGAGTACGTCCACCTTTACTTACCAAATAAAAGCAGATTCATCTAACAAAACAAACTCAGGTACATGTATATACTTATATAATTTTTAAATTCAGCAGGTAACAGTGCATCGACCCTCTTTTTTTTTACTGTTAATTTTCCTTCGTACTGCTGTGATGTGCAGCTCTGCTCCATGTGAGGCTAACCCACAGGTGAACGCCTGAGATTCTGCTGCCTGGCTGCTCAATCGTTCTTCCTTCTTCTCTAGTTTTCTGTTATTATATTTTCATCAGACATAACAAATGTGCAGGTGGATGTTAGTCAGTCATTAGTTACAGAGTGATCCATTTGTCATGCTGCATAATCAGGAATTCTGTAACTAAGTTTCTATAATTACATAAGACAGTTTTGTAAGCAGGTCACCTGCTAAGGTTCGTGGTTCGATCCCTGGCTGCTCAAGTCTGCGTGCCATAATGATTCCCAGTTGCTCTCCAATGCATCCATCAGAGTATGAATGTATGTGAAGCTCTATGTTAAATAGAAAGCACATAGCAAAACGTGCTTCTGTGAATGGCTGAATGAGGCACTGTGTAAATCACTTTGAGTGCTCAGAGCAGGAACGAGTCCATTTACCATGACCAAATAACCAGCATATGAAGAAGCAGTTAAAAACATTCCATTTGTGTTCTTACAGATTCTTACAGCTCAGGATCTGGTGGACTTCTCGCCCGTCTACAGGTGTCTACACATCTATACTGTGTTGGTAGGTGTCTGTGGCGAAAGCTAATAACTAATGCTATCCATTGGTCTGCCTTATTTCTCTGTTCATTGGATTTTGATTATCTAATGACAGCTATGCTAATTAAGTGGAATCAAGGTTATAGTGCTAACATCCAACGTTACCCCTGAAATACAGCACAGCTGTTTCATGATCAGCTCCAATGCTTGTGATTACATCAGTCTCAGCTCTCCTCTCTGGGTCACCTAAGATCTGTTTATTACCTAAGCCCATGAAGCCCAGAGCAGGTAAAAAGGACGGGGATTCAGACACAGGAAGGTGAAGTGTGGACCCAAACGCAGACAACGAAGATGAAGGTGGATGTTGAATAGAAAGCGAGCCTTTATTTTAGCGAACACAACAACAAACAAAAGCAAAGGACGACTACATGAAACCTGACAGAACAAAGGAAAACACACGCCATACATACACAGAGGATAATGAGGAAATAGGAAACAGGAGGGGAACGCAGCCGAGACTAATCAGGCATGACGAGACGGGAGGAGAGCAAAGCTATAAACGCTAACAGGACACGGGACTGTCAAAGTAAAACAGGAAATACATGAACATAGAGACAAGGATGACTGTAGGTAACACAAGGGACCTAACAACAAAACACAACAACTAGAAATCACCAAAACACTAAAGAAGCAAGAAATACAAACTAAAAGCCACCGAGTCTCCAGACCCAGGACCAGGACAGTCTGGGATTTGATAGTACCTGAGTGTTCTGGTTTGTAACATCATGTATCATAGTTAATTGATCTATGTCTGTATTCTGTGTGTGTGCAGGGTGACCGAGAAACATTTGAGAACTACTACAGGAAACAGAGGAAAAAACAGGCCCGGCTAGTTCTGCAGCCGCAGGCTAACATGGTGAGCAACACAAGCGCTTAAACATACGTGTAAAGCATATGAATGAAATTCAGACAAGCGCTCGGGGGGTTTTCAGTGGGCCTTTCATTGTGACTACATGGCACTAAACACAGTCTGCCTTGTATTAATTTTTCCTAGAACCTGTGTATTTCTTACTATGACTAAATAGATTACTCACAGATCGTACAGCAGCTGCGATCCAGCTCTGGCAAAGCTTAGAAAACCATGACTGTTACTGTTTTTTCAGGGGGGAAATAAACAGCTGTACTTTGTATTTAAAAAGTTATAAAGGATGTTTTAAAGTTTTAGGATAACATCAGGAAAAAGCAAAACAGCCCCAGAGCAAGATGCTACCACCAGCATGCTCGGTGCACAGATAGGCGGCACCATCTCAGTCCATATCTTTACTATGGAGAGTGGTGCTGGTTCATCAGCTTCCAGGTCCCAGCAGGCTTGAGCCTCGGTGGTTCCTGGGATGAAGTCACAAAGCAAAAGCCATGTCAGACAAGAGCTGCAGAAATACAACTTTTAACTTATTTTTTCTCCCTCCTATTTCAATATTTGCCTTACTGGTGACTGTTACGTTTGCATCTGTATTAACATGGCTTTGTGTCTATTTGTGTGTGTTTAGCATGAGACAGTGGAAGGCTACAGAAGATACTTCAATCAGATTGTGGGGTAAGATGTTCCTTTCAAATGCTCATCTGGCTGTTTTGTTTCACTGTGAACCTAAATCTGTGTGTGTGTGTGTGTGTGTGTGTGTGTGTGTGTGTGTGTGTGTGTGTGTGTGTGTGTGTGTGTGTGTGTGTGTGTGTGTGTGTGTGTGTGTGTGTGGTCAGGTTCTTTGTTGTAGAGGACCATATCCTCCATGCCACTCAAGGGCTGGTGACCAGAGCTTATACTGATGAACTGTGGAACATGGCGCTGTCCAAGATCATCGCTGTACTCCGGACACACTCTGTAGGAGCACACACACACACACACACACACACACACACACACACACACACCTCTAATGTCTGCAGGGCATTGACTGTGAATGGAAAAGATGCTGTTGAGAGTTAATAGAAATGATAGTTCCTTCATTCAGTGGATGATACACCCCTCACAGGTCAGCACACCCACAAACACACTAATGATGTCACTATTAAGAGCAGAGGTCAAAACACACATACACATGCAGGCAAAGAGGAGGCCATTGTGACCTTAATGAGAGACAGATTGCAACAATAACAGCAGATAAAGAAGGCATATTCCTGCCCGCTGGAGCCCTGTCAGTTGTAAATGACCCCGAGGATTATGCTAACAGGCTGGAGAATAGGCCGCACAGCATGGGTGAGAAGACTAACAAAGACCTGGTGTCCTCTGTGCCCCTCTGCTGTGCTCTGACAAAAGCAAGTCCACATTGTCGGGCTCCTGCACTTACAGCGAGTGCATGGTCAGCTAAAAGTAACAAGGCTGCATCAGATTGTTTAAAAAAAAAGCAAAACTAAGACATGCAGATGATATACTTAATGAGTAAAATTCTCCCAGTGCGGGTTAAATAAATACAATATGCTTTCAATAGACAACAAGTCTGAGTGCTGAGTGTCCAGTCTCAGGCTGTGTTCATATACAGCTGTGCTGCTCTCAGGGTGATAAATCGCCCTACTCTCTGGAAAAACGAGGGCCTTTGTTAATGCACTGGCTTAACTTGTTTGTCATGTAGGCAGACTTCCTATAAAAATATACCTAGTTAAAACTCTACACAGTATACAGTGCAGTTACTTCATATGTATTCAAAGGCCCAAAGTGGATCATGGAGCAGGACGATGATCCTAAGCACATAAGCAAATGTGCTGCAGAGTGTCAGGAAAGAAAAAGAATCTGAAGTGTGCTACGCCTAAACAGAGCTCAGTGAACTGAAACAATGTTGTCAACATGAGAACTTCTCACAATTACAAGTTCAGTTACTGCTAAAGGTGGTCGGACACGCTTTTGAATGACAGGGTGCTCAGTTTTCAGAGGACTGCAAAGACTCACATGAACATAGATTTAGGAAGCAAAGCAGGTAATGCGACGTTAGACCAGTGTGTGGTGATGACTCTCTTTCTGCAGTCATACTGTGACGACCCAGACTTGGTGCTGGAGCTGAAGAATCTCATAGTCATCTTTGCTGACACACTACAGGTTGGTTAAGAGTGGGACTTGACTTGTTTGTGACTCTGCCGTGTGAAAACGTGTTTTCTGACTGTGTGATGTTTGTGCAGGGGTTCGGCTTCCCGGTAAACCGTTTGTTTGACCTGCTGTTTGAGGTTAGAGACCAGTACAACGAAACCCTGCTGAAGAAATGGGCACTGGTTTTCAGGTGGGCTTCACTCACGTGTGGCGTCTGCCACAGTAGGACGTGCAGAAACACAAATGACAATTTGACAATAACAATTGTGTTTGCGGTAAGGCTTTCTGCTGTGACATCCCCGTCTGTATGCAGCCTGCATATTTTGTTTGAACAAAGCAGAGCAGCTAAAAACACACAACTAAAACCAGAATCAGCTTTGTTCGTACTGTTTCAGCAAAGCATCAGCACCGTGTGAGGGAAGTTGTTCTTTTTTTCACATCATTGATGCTGAAAATGGCACTGAGGCGACATTAAACTGAACTGAACAAACAGTGGAGACCAAAGATAACTCTGATCTGTGTTCCCATAGAGAGATCTTTGAACTGGACAACTACAGTCCCATCCCAGTGGAGACAGAGGAGGAATATAAACTGGTTGTCAGCCGCTTTCCCTTCCACGATGCTGAGATAGAGAAGGTAATGTGTTCAAGTACCACCGTCTCCCCAATCTGGCACGGTTGCATCCACGTAAAAGAAAGATTTCCTAAAAGACAACTAGTGTTGGATGAATATTAATACAGTTTTTCTGTGTGCATAAGCAGCAGGACTTTCCTAAGAAGCTGCCAATGTCCCAGTCTGTCCCTCAGATCTACACCCAGGTCAAAGAGTTCATTTACGCCAGCCTCAAGTTCTCCGAGTCACTACACCGCAGGTACACTACTCTGTGTTCACTCGCCACACGAACACTTATACATATCTAATCTCCCCGGACTGCCGTCTCTTCACTTTGCAACTGTCAAGTTTGTTGTGTGTCCAGTTCAACAGAGATTGATGACATGTTGCGAAAATCTACCAACCTGTTGCTGACAAGAACTCTCAGCAGTTGTCTGCAAAACCTTATCAAGAAACCTCACATAGGACTGACCGAGGTTAGAACTGCTCACACACACACAGTCGTGAAAAGCATTCAGGATTCAGGCTACAACTGTAACCTTGTCTCTGTAGCTGGTACAGATCATCATTAATACCACCCACCTGGAGCAGGCCTGCAGGTATCTGGAGGAATTCATAACAAACATCACCAACGTCTCCCCAGAAACAGTTCACACCACAAGACTCTACGGACTGTCGACCTTCAAGGTGATTTGTGCCTTTAGCAGTCACCTTCTTCATACCTCGGTTGTGATGAGTTTACTGTTAGCTTTCTTACCTCTGAGCAGTCTGGCCATTCTTTTCTGACTTCTTGCATTTTCATCCGGTGAACAGATTCACTTTTTTAGTCTAGAAACTGATATAAGAGAATCCCAGTAAATCAGCAGTTATTGAGACAAGGCCAGCCACGTTCAGAAACACCTTTGTTCATCGTTCTGATGCTCAGTTCTTCAGCAGGTCATCTCTGCTTCCATCCCTGATTACATTCAGTTGCTGCCATGTGATTGGCAGATTAATGAGATGTTAAACGGGTGTACTTAATGAAGTGGCAGAAGTTGAAGATCTGTGTCTCCATTCCAAAAATGAATGCGTGTAGGAAGAACAATAATATTTGCTCCCATTAACTCTTGTGAAAACATTGTTCCAGGATGCTCGTCATGCTGCAGAGGGAGAGATTTATACCAAACTGAACCAGAAGATCGATGAGTTCATCCAGCTAGCAGACTACGAATGGGGCATGGCCGAGTCTGACGGCCGCGCTTCAGGGTATCTCATGGACCTGATCAACTTCCTACGATCTACCTTCCAGGTGTTCACACACCTCCCGGTGAGTGTGAGCCGCCTCCAACCTCTACACGTTAGCTCAGCACCTCTGTCTGGGAGCTGTGGAACATGAACAGTGTGGGGTTGTGTTGTTGTTGTCCTTTCTGTTCACACACTAGCTGTATGGCGTGCTGTGAGGTTGATCTTTTGTTGATAATACGAACGCATGATTATTTTTGTTTGTTTGTTTTCCTTCCCTGACTTCCCACCATCACTCTGTTGTTTTTTACGCCCTCATAGCATTTCTGTCAGATTGTAGGTGCTGTCTGAAAAAGGTTTATACTGTGGATATCACGTTGAGCTATGTACACGTTGCAGTGCTGATTTCTGCATGATGTGCTGTTACTGGCTTGTGCAATGTTTTTGCAAACTGACATCATCTCCAACCCAACGGAGCACATTAGATAGCAAAGTGTAAAGGATTTGATCAGAAACTGTTATTTGAGCTCACAGCCTGATTGGTCTGTTGGCTGTACCTGCCCTTCTCACCTGCATGTGCGACTATTTCTCCTTATTATCTCCTGCTGTGTCTCCATCCACACCTTCTGTAATGCACAGCTTTGTAACTGAATTTTTTACTCCTTGATTAATTTGACATGTCAAGCATGCAAGATATCTCTAGCTGTCCATTTATTGTTGCCACATTTCTTTTCCTGTCCTTTCCCTCTTTCCCTCTCCTTCTTCCATTTTTGGTTGGTTTGGGGGTTCTCTGCTCAGAATAACAACAATGATCATGCATCAATGTCGGTGAGTATCCCTGCCTGGATTTATAACACTTTGCTGCTAAGCTACAGGCAGAATGGCGATACAATGCATGCTAATGTTTGCCTTCAGAAGTCCCACAACTCTAAGCTTGTGGTTCTGCCATAGACTGAATATAAAAGATTGATGTAGCCACCATGACATCACCTATGAGGTATTCCCATTGTGAGCATTTTGTTTCCATTTTAGCTCTTTGAAACGGGACATTACAGGATAGGCGGACCTTACTGTGGAACAGGGGACACTGCAGGCTAACTGGCTCAAGACTTGACAAGTCTGCAACTCAGCACTTTTGCTTTGGCTTCACTTTTCAGACATGAAAGCTATCTTTAATATACAATCTGGAACTGTTGCTAATGAAAACATTCACAGACCATAATTACATTCAAACTTGAGCAACAGATACTTTTATCTGCGGGAAAGCTGTGAGACCAAGGATGACGTAACATCCACTGCATATGAAAGCTAAGGCCAGAATACTGCAATTCAGCTCACCTTTATTTATACAGCACCAAATCACAACAGCAGATGCCTCAAGATGCTGTACTGTAAAGTAAAGACCCTGCAATCAGTCTTTACCTTGGCAACAATGGAAGGGAAAAACTCCCTTTAACAGGAAGAAACCTCCAGCAGGACCAGGCTCAGGGAGGGGCGGCACAGCCGGTTGGGGTTAGGGGAGGAAGCACAAAGACAGAGCCAGACATTTATAATAACTAATAATTAAATGAAGAGAGATGTGAGTGAGTGAAAGAGGTGACTGAAGAAGAAGAAAAACTACATCATGGAAATCCCAGTTTTTTCATGCAAATTGTTTCGGTGTGTTTCTTGACTCCATTTGCTTTTGAAGCCAAGGTTTCATTTTTATCTCTGCTGTTGAATGTTGAATGTCCTGTTAGCTTTATAAACAGTGGCACAGTGGTTAGCACTGTTGCCTCACAACATCCTGGCCAGGGCCTTTCTGTGTGGAGTTTGTTTATTCTAGTTTTATTTTATTGTCTATTATTCTTATTTTGTTTTACTATTATTTAGTTTTCATTATTGTTTAATACCTGTTTTATATTTTCTTGCTGTCTGGAAATAACTTTGGTCAACTACGTTGTGTTTTTTAAACTGCTCTAAAAATAGAGTTGTAATGGTTGGAAATTAGAGTCCACTGGGATCTGAGTGCAGGGTGGATATTACCTTCAGTACGGATGCCTGCTTAGAGGAAGGTAGGAAATTAAGAACAACTAAGGTCTCTGCAGCTGTCTGTGAGTTTGTTAGCAAGGGAGCATAATTCAGGCCCATCTGCAAGGTGTAAAAATGTTGTGTTCTGGCCTCACTTTCAGTGCTACAGTAAACTACATGTAACTCTGAACTTGATGCCAGTCACTGCTAACCAGGAACACCAGCTGACTGGTGTTTATATAGTGAACCTGGAAACTTCTTTGAGGCCACACCTAGCAGCTACACTCGGCACACTTTACATAAATAAAACTTCTAAACTCCAGGGAATAGATTGTTTTATACTAGCTGTACTATACTTTATGGATCAATTCAAAGTTCGTTCAAAGTTGCATTTCTAACACTTGAAGGAGATTTAACATGAAGCACTTCCAATTTGTTCAAGGTGCCCATGTGAAACAAAATCCAGGTACCAGATATTCAAATCAAATCCAAAACAAAAAATCAAATTTATTTATGTAGCACATTTAAAGACCGAAGTACACCAAAGTGCTTTCCAGTAAAACCATGATACAGATAAAAATCACAATATAAAATATAAATTACAGATATAAAATAATTACATAATCTAAATGCAGAGCCAGATGTAAATTACCCTAATTAGCCTCGAATGCCAGGTTAAACAAGTACGTTTTTAGACGTGATTTAAAAGATTCAATAGAATCTGATGCGTGAATGTCGAGAGGAAGATTATTCCATAATTTGGGTGCGGCAATGGCAAAGGCACAGCCTCCTCTGGTCTTCAGCCGAGACCAGGTTGCACTAAGAGCAGTTGGCCCGATGATCTGAGGGCTATACAGACAGAGGAGATCAGTAATCAGGTGCCATATTATTTAGGATTTTATAAGTAAACAATAACATTTTAAAATCAATTCGATATTTAATAGGAAGCCAATGTAAGTTGGCCAGAACAGGAGTGATAGTATCATACTTTCTAGTGCCGGTTAAGAGACTTGCTGCGGCATTTTGGACCAGCTGCAATCGCTGGAGGAGGGAAGATTGGAGGCCCAAGTAAAGAGAATTACAATAATCTAGTCTTGAAGTGATGAAAGCATGAATGAGTTTCTCCAGATCTTTGTGTGGTATATAAGGTTTAGCCTTAGAAATTTGGCGTAGTTGGTGGAAGCTGGTTTTTACCACAGTAGACACCTGTTTATCTAGTTTGAAGGAACTATCCATGAAAACTCCAAGATTCCTAGCAGCATCAGTGAGGTGGTTAGCAACAGGCCCGAGTGTGCCAGTCAGTTGTCTCAGAGGCATATTTCTATCAAAAACAATAATTTCTGTCTTCTTTTCATTTAAAGTAAGAGAGTTACGTGATAACCAGTCTTTCACATCCCTCAGACAATCAAACAGAGGATGTAGTGAAGATGAAACATCCCCAGTCAGGTGGAGGTAGATTTGAATATCATCAGCATAGCAGTGAAAAGAGACATTATGTTTTTCAAAAATGGAGCCCAAGGGCAGCATGTACAGGGAGAACAACACAGGACCGAGCACCGAGCCCTGGGGCACTCCACAGCAAAGAGGGGCAGAAGAAGAGGAATATTTTCCCATCATGACAGAGAACGACCTCTCAGAGAAATATGATTTAAACCATGAGAGAACTTTTCCTTTAAGGCCTACTACTTGTTCTAACCTTGCCAAAAGAATATCATGGTCAACCGTGTCAAAGGTGACGTCAGATCTAATAGAACTGAGACCGCAGTGCGCCCAGAGTCAGCGATGAGAAGAAGGTCATTGAAAACTCTTAATAGGGCAGTTTCGGTGCTGTGACGCGGTTTAAATCCAGACTGGAATTTATCACTTATACCGTTTATCTCTAAATAGGTCTGTAGTTGCTGAAGCACTATTTTCTCTAAAGTTTTTGACATGAAAGGGAGTTTAGAAATCAGATCGAATGTTATGATCAAGGCTGCTTTTCTTGGTAACAGGTTGCATGACTGCATGTTTAAAGACAGTCGGAACACAGCCAGATGACAGTGATGAGTTCATTAAAAATAAGATACAGGACCCGATTGTATTTAATGCATCCTTAATGATACGAGCGGGAATAATGTCATGCAAAGTATTTGAGCTTCTCAGGTTATTAATTATTTCCTTTAAAGTCGAGGATGACACAGGTTCAAACTGTTGAAAAACCGTTGAACATTCGGAAACTGGGGCTTGATTTACTGCCGGGGAATGTGGGGCCCTTAACACTGAGATTTTATCTATAAAATGATTTAGAAATTTTTCGCAGAGGGCCGGGGAGGCACCCATCGAAACATCAGAGCAGGGATTAACCACTGAGTTAAAGATTTTGAACAGAACTCAAGGATTGTGACTATTAGTTGCAATGATGTTCGACAAAAAAGAAGTTTTTGCCATTTTGGCAGCCTTCTGAAATTTAGATCGGCTCATATGCAGGATGTCAAGGGACACCTGAAGTTGATCTTTTTTCCATCTCCTCTCAGCTCGACGACATTCACGCCTAAGAGCGAGGGTGGATTCATTTAGCCAGAGTTGGCGAGAGGTTTTAGGGCGTTTAGTCTTTACTGGAGCCACAGTGTCCAAAGCTGAAGAGCATCTAGAAATGAAAGAGTTGACTAGGCCATCAACCAAGAGAGGTGCATTACTGATGTCATCGTAACAGACAGAGTTAGCAAAGGCCGCAGAGAAATGGGCAACAACCTCAGGATTAATCATACGCGATAGGCTCAGTGGACCCTCAGAGTTCAGTTCCATATTGCATAACTGAACATCAAACATAACTGGGAAATGGTCCGAAATCCCAGCATCATTAATGTCCATGATGCAAATATCCAGTCAATACAACAATACCAATGCCGTTCCAGCCGGCGAACATTGCTATAATCCACACCTCCAGAGACCCGCTTCCAGCTCCATACAGGGCACTCAACTGGTAAGACCGAGTGGGCTTGCTGGCCAGCATAGCAGATCCATCGATGATGACACAGTCTAAAAGTATACTGGGAGGGCCGCAAGATGTCCATGATGGAGTGGTAATTAATCACTTCATGTGCTATTCACATATATTGTAAAAGATATTGTGAAATGCACTATTTTATACAGTTAACAACTTACTATCGATGTTCATTTATTGTAAACTTTACATTTATATCCCCTCCGTGAATCACTACCTAATTGTGGTGGAGTTGCTCATGTGTCCTAGGGATCCGATGGTACATTCTCCCTACAAATTGGTCCTGGGTGTGGGACCAGTCAAGAGCGATTCAGAAGACTCTTATGAGTACAACATCAAGGGACATGAGACCACCCTCCTTCTCGGAGTCCCTGGGTGAGGAGCTTGAGATACTCCACCCAGGGACTCTCTCCACATGAGCAGCACGACAACAACAGTGAGACCTGATAGGGTGTGATTGGGAGAAACGGCCTCTCCCACCTAGGGTTGGCCCATATCATACCGTTCACGGTAATACCGGTATAATGTTAGGCAACGATAAGAAAATGAAATATCGCGATAGAATATGGATAAAACGCGCATGTGCAGTGCCTTTGTTTCATACGCACATGGCAGAAAAAGCATGGCGGCGACGGAGAATGAGAAGGGTGAAAGCGGATCGTTGAGTGAAACGATGAACCAGAACTGGTTTGTAAAAATGCTGCAACTTCAGTGGTGTGGAACTGGTTTAGCTTTCGTCCGTCAGATACACAACAAAGCACTATTTTTGGTAGAGCATGCTAGCGGGCCGTCGTTATTACCGAAACGATTTTATGTGGTACATAAAAATAAAATCTCTCAAAAAATGTTTCAGTACGACTTTGCTAAGCTACGAAGCCGCACCGCTTGATGGATTGTCAGAGCATTACGGCTATCGTAGGCGGAGCCTCGCGGAGTGATACGTACTGTGCTTCAGCATAATGTTACCGTGTTGTGTGTGTTTAACCTCTTTTTAAGTTTTGTGGATATTCTACATGGTTATGCTGAGGATGTGTCGGCCAGTTTCCACTGGAAATGCCTTTTGGTTAAACTGTCAGCAAAGAATTTGCATTTGCACTGTTAAATTTTTATATAACTTTAATGCACATAAAAAAAAACAGCTGCTTGTTTAAGTGAAAATACATTGATGGGGTTTTTTTTCACTAATAAAGCTGTGGAGTTGTAAAGTATTTTGTCTCACGTCAATTATATCGTCAGTTACAGTGGGGCAAAAAAGTATTTAGTCAGCCACCGATTGTGCAAGTTCCCCCACTTAAAATGATGACAGAGGTCAGTAATTTGCACCAGAGGTACACTTCAACTGTGAGAGACAGAATGTGAAAAAAAAATCCATGAATTCACATGGTAGGATTTGTAAAGAATTTATCCGTAAATCAGGGTGGAAAATAAGTATTTGGTCACCTCAAACAAGGAAAATCTCTGGCTCTCACAGACCTGTAACGTCTTCTGTAAGAAGCTTTTCTGTCCCCCACTCGTTACCTGTATGAATGGCACCTGTTTGAACTCATCATCTGTATAAAAGACACCTGTCCACAGCCTCAAACAGTCAGACTCCAAACTCCGCCATGGCCAAGACCAAAGAGCTTTCGAAGGACACCAGGAAAAGTATTGTAGACTTGCACCAGACTGGGAAGAGTGAATCTACAATAGGCAAGCAGCTTGGTGTGAAAAAATCAACTGTGGGAGCAATCATCAGAAAATGGAAGACATACAAGACCACTGATAATCTCCCTCCATCTGGGGCTCCACGCAAGATCTCATCCCGTGGGGTCAAAATGATCATGAGAACGGTGAGCAAAGATCCCAGAACCACACGGGGGGACCTGGTGAATGACCTGCAGAGAGCTGGGACCAAAGTAACAAAGGTCACCATCAGTAACACACTACAACGGCAGGGAATCAAATCCCGCAGTGCCAGACGTGTTCCGCTGCTGAAGCCAGTGCATGTCCAGGCCCGTCTGAAGTTTGCCAGAGAGCACATGGATGATACAGCAGAGGATTGGGAGAATGTCATGTGGTCAGATGAAACCAAAGTAGAACTTTTTGGTATAAACTCAACTTGTCGTGTTTGGAGGAAGAAGAATACTGAGTTGCATCCCAAGAACACCATACCTACTGTGAAGCATGGGGGTGGAAACATCATGCTATGGGGCTGTTTTCCTGCCAAGGGGACAGGACGACTGATCCGTGTTAAGGACAGAATGAATGGGGCCATGTATCGTGAGATTTTGAGCCAAAACCTCCTTCCATCAGTGAGAACTTTGAAGATGAAACGAGGCTGGGTCTTCCAACATGACAATGATCCAAAACACACTGCCCGGGCAACAAAGGAGTGGCTCCGTAAGAAGCATTTGAAAGTCCTGGAGTGGCCTAGCCAGTCTCCAGACCTCAACCCCATAGAAAATCTGTGGCGGGAGTTGAAAGTCCGTGTTGCTTGGCGACAGCCCCAAAACATCACTGCTCTTGAGAAGATCTGCATGGAGGAATGGGCCAAAATACCAGCTACTGTGTGTGCAAACCTGGTAAAGACCTATAGTAAACGTTTGACCTCTGTTATTGCCAACAAAGGTTATGTTACAAAGTATTGAGTTGTATTTTTGTTATTGACCAAATACTTATTTTCCACCCTGATTTACCAATAAATTCTTTACAAATCCTACCATGTGGATTCATGGATTTATTTTTCACATTCTGTCTCTCACAGTTGACGTGTACCTCTGGTGCAAATTACTGACCTCTGTCATCATTTTAGGTGGGGGAACTTGAACAATCGGTGGCTGACTAAATACTTTTTTGCCCCACTGTAAGGGTGCCCATAACTGCACGTGGCATCCTATGCCAGCGGTCCCCAACCTTTTTTGTGCCACGGACCCCTTTATGTCCGACAATATTTTCATGGACCGGCCTTTGAAGTGTCACAGATTAATACAACAAAATAAAACTAGTACGGGTACCAAAAAAAAGATGATTCATAACACAACATCCATGGAAACAGAGTTAACAATAAAAATGATTTAAAAAAAATAACGCTTAAAAACCCTGAAAACCACACCCGAGCCTCAACTCTCGCGGCACGGTACCAAACGACTCATGGGCCAGTACCGGTCTGTGGCCTGGGGGTTGGGGACTGCTGCCCTAGGCCACAGGTCGATAATCCACTTGGTAATCAGATCATCATATCTGCGGCCGTATGTTCTGGACACTCGGGTAAAGAGAGGGACTGAGCTGTCAACTGATTGCCCAGGGTGTACTGGGAACGTGTAGCAGAGGCCCCAATCTGCAAGATGGTCAACTCTTGCCTCCTTCAAAGCTTCAACAGCATTCTAAGGAGGACTGGGGAACATGTTCAGCGCCTCCAGCTAAGGCTGCACTTCACTGAGCTGTGGCTGCAAGCTGGTCGGTGCCTATCGTGGTAAACCCCAAACCAGCTGGTGCACACCAGAGGTGAAGGGAGCCATCAGGCCAAAGACGGATTCCTATCAGGCTTGATTAGCCTGTGGCTGAAGTAAAAACGGGTGTCGGAGTTCAGTGAGGCCATGGAAAAATATTTGTAGATTGCCTTGAAGTGATTCTGGCAAACTGTCAGGCAACTCAGGAGGGGAAAGCGGTGCTCTACCTACACTGTGTATACTGCAAGTGGAGTGCTGCTGATTACAACTGAGGACATTGTTGAGTAGTGGAAGGAAAACTTTGAAGGCCTCTTTAATTCCACTGACACGTCTTCCATAGTGGAAGCAGGGGATGGCTCATACAGCACCGATAATTAGAACACTGAGGCAGTTAAACAACTCCTTGGTGCCACGGCCCCTCGGGGGGCTGAGGTTAGCCCTGAGATTCTGAAGGCTCTGGATGTTGTAGGGCTGTCTTGGTTAAAACACCTCGAAAGTGTTGCATGGAAATCTGGGGCAGTACCTGGATTGACAGATGGGGTGGTGGTTGCCAATTTGAACAAGGGGTACCAGAGGGTGCTCCAACTCTATGGGGGCTCACACTCGTCAGCCTCCCTGGGAAAGTCTATCCCAGGGTGCTGGAAAGGAGAGTCTGTTAGTCAAACCTCAGATTCAGGAGGAACAATGCTGTTTTTATCTGGACCATGTCCCTCAGAGTATTCTCTGGGAGAGGCATCGGGAGTATAAGGTGTCTGACCCGTTGTACAACCTTTGCAAGAGCTTAGTTCACTGTGCTGGCAATAAGTCAGACTCGACCGCCAGTCCGTGGTGAAAAGACAGGAGAGTATAAAAGTGAAGTTCTCGATTTAACGATCGATCTTTGTCCCTATCCTCACCTATGGTCACAAGCTCTGGGTAGTGCCTGAGGCTAAATCCACACTAATGCGTTTTCGTTTGAAAATGCATTGTTTTCTCTCCGTTTTGGCCTCCTGTCCACACTGAGACAGAGTTTTCACTCATGGGCAGCGTTTTCAAAACGTTCTCGAAAACGCATACATTTGAAAACGGTGCTTTCGCGTCACAGTGTGGACAGCAAAAATGCAGACTTTCTAAAACGATGACGCATGTTAGTCATATGATGCAGTCATGTGACCAATTAAACTAAGATAGTGAAGGTCATTACACAGCAGTTGTCTTGTTTGCTCTCAATTTTGACAGTCTGTACATGCTCCAGATAGATTTCACAAATGCGCAGGACTGGAACGTAAGCATTTTTGGCCATTTCAATGTGCACACGCAATTCTGTGACGTGTGGATGCGGATATAAGATATATGTGTATATATATATATATATATATATATAATATATATATATATATATATATATATATATATATATATATATATATATATATATGTGTATATATGTGTACGTATATATGTATATGTATATATGTACGTATATATATGTATATGTATATATATGTATATATGTGTATATATATGTATATGTATATATATATAATTAATGGCTACTAATTATTTAATAATATTACAACTGCATCTTGGATTTACTTGGTTCATCTCTGTTCATTGTTAAAATTAGTTTGATGATCTGAAACACCGTGTGTGTGACAAATGTGTGTGACTTTTTAATTTTTCATTTAACTTTTTCATGTTTACATAACCTGTAAACATTTCAATAAATCATTGCACTTTTTCCATTTTTCTAGCAAATACAGAACATAGTGGTGACTCAAGACTTTTGCACAGTACTATATTTATACCTGTTCATGAAGATTTTGAGACAACACTAACTTGGAATTATCCCTTGCCCTTCTTGCTCTTTATTCCCCATTTCTGTATTACTCCTATATCCTCTTTTCTCATACCCTCCTCCTTCTTCTCTTTCAACTTTTTACCCCAACTGTTTATCTCAATCTGTTATTATTCACCTTCTTTTTCCCATCCTGGTCTTCCTACATATTTTTAAAACTCAAATACTGCCCGTTCTCTCTTTATAAAATGTTCACCCCATCAAATGACTTCATTCTGTCGCTTTCCCCTCCTCTCATCCTCATCCTCTACCAACTCTGTCCCCATCCTAATCTTTCCATCCTTCATCTCTCCTCTTGCTTCTTGTCTGTGCCTTCCTTCTCCCTGAATCTCTCCCTGTGCAGGGAAAAGTGGCCCAGACAGCTTGTATGTCAGCCTGCAAGCATCTGTCCACATCACTGATGCAGATGCTGTTGGACACGGAACTCAAACAGATCAGTATGGGGGCCATTCAGCAGTTCAACTTAGATGTTATTCAGTGTGAATGTGAGTATAAAGAATTGTAATGTTGAAACATTTGTTTTCTTTTAATATAGATAAGATACAATAACATTCTATTGAAACTAAGAAAAATACTGAAATGCAAAGACATTTAACGTAATATCATCTTATCACTTGTCAGATGATGGTTCTTACAAACACAGTTGGGTGTAATGTGTTCCAAAGTAACACATTACTGTAATCACAAGACATTTTTCAGTAACATGGTAATGTAACACGATATTGTACTAAATTCAGTAGTGACATTACATTTGCAATTATGTTGTTAATCACATTACAGAGGTTTTTTAGTTACCTGCACGTCAGGTGGATGAAAAGAAAATGAGCAAATGCACCTTCTTCTTTGTGTGCACTCACACATGCATGCAGGAGCAGTCTGCAGCTTGTGAGGAGTGGATGTATGGAAATGATTACAGCGACCAGAGTGCGATGGTGAAGTGAAAACTACTTCCGCTGCAGAAACAAGAGCATAATACTAATAACAAAACCTCTGCACAGACAGCATGGAGGCTGCATCTTCATTAGGACAGAGATATGTGTTTATATTGTTAACTGGTAGTTATGTGACAGTAGGGCTGCTCGATATAACGATATATATCGGATGACGATATAAAAACATCTATCGTTTCATTTTACGCTATCGTTTGTTTCGTGGTGTCGCAAAATAAACTGTTTACAGCCATATTTGTTCATGGTTCTGATGTCACTGTAGTGGCTTCTTCTTCAACTTCTTAAAGTTCTCTCTTTCTCTTATATTTAATATAACCACACTACAGACGGACAAGCGCCTGTTTTTATGTGTTGTCGTTAGCAACAACGACGGTAACACCATCGTGTGTCCGTTTGTTTATGTTCCACATAAACCTTTCACAATAAAGCTCAAGATCCTGTTGAGACCTTTCAAAATAAACTGAATCACGTGAAAGAGCAGATTATTTACGGATGAGAAGTAAAAAAGACGCCAGGTGCTAAAAAATAGATCTTAGACTCAAACGTTAGAACGGGCTTTTCCCCGCAGCACGCCGTGTAATAAATACTCAAAGAAAACGGCGCCGTTACAACTTCTGTCTAAAAATGTATCGTTTCATGCATCGTTAAAACACTCTGCTCCAGCTACACAACGCACAGCTGGAAACACTTCACACAAGTCGACCTGCCCAAGATTCACAGACTTTACAGAAAATGTTACATTTTTGTGATTTATATCGTTATCTGACGATAGATGTTTTATATCAGGATATGAGATTCTGGTCATATCGCACAGCCCTATGTGACAGCGCGTTTCAATTAAATTTACAGAGTAACATGAAAGTAATTTAATGAGTACTACAACGAATTACTGCGTTTAAGGACAGTGACGTTTTATGTGTAATGCTTTACAAAGCAGCATGGACTTGCAGTAATGCCTGTTTTGCTTACACAGATAGATAGATAGTCCTAAAATACCTCGATGACTAAAGTTCAGCCATTTCACATTGCTATTTG